AACCTTCAATTGCAAAGTCTAAAGAATTTGTGAATTAACTTTTTAAAATTTGATGACAGAACCCTACCAACTTTGTGTCACTGCAGTGAGCTATATAGGTACCCTGCTTCTTCTCATTATCTTCTGACCACTTACTGCTCACTTATACTTCTGAGGGTGGGTAGACAGAAGACATGATGCAGAAAAAAGGATCAAGTTTGCGAATTATCAACTTTTATTTTAAGGTAGTTGTTTATAGGGCTTTAAATTAGATTTCTGAATACATGACTGTTTATATTATCCATGCCCTCCCACTCTGTTATCAAAGCTAAAACAAGAATTTGTTTTACCAAGACTTGGGCCCCATATTTGTTAGATATCAAGAGGAAAAAAAGGAATAATCTAAGGGAAAAAAAATGGGGATTCTCTTGAGTTCCTCAGAGCTGGGTTCTTAAGTCATTCAATCATTATCCTAACAGGAGCCAACAGAGAGAGACTTCTAAACATCTAACAGTCAGGTATGCTTAAAGGCACATGGCATATACTGGTCTAGGAAAGAAGCAGAAGAAAACCACAAGGTAAAATTCAGAGTATTTGAATGGATGTGTACCAAGTAGCAAATAACCTTACTAGGAAGATGGTCACTACAGAGCTAAAGAGAAAGGGCCATAAAGCAAACTGTGACCAGCTTATGTCAATGAGATACATGAGTACTTAAAAAATAAAATCTGCATTTTACTCAAAATGACTAGCTGGTATCTTGGTTTTGGTAGTGCAACAGCACCAATACAGCAAGGGTAAAGCAGGTCAATCCCTTGCAAAACTTACCTTGATTGGCCCAATGGAAACAGAAGGCCCCAGAAAAGAGAGAAGCATCTGGCAGTAGCAAATTGTTTTATTTTATCTTTCTGTGGAAAGAAACTAATTTTAAATAAGAACCAGAGCATTTAAAGAATAAATATTTTTTAAAGCTCATTATCTAGTTAGAGCAGCTCTACTGAGAAAACAAGAAGAGCTCCTTGCTGCTTAGAGATGGAAAGAAACAGAAGAGGAATCAGAGTTGTTTCTCCATCACCTAGGGAGTTTTAAAACTTGTGTTATCCTAGAGTAACAGAATAAATAGTTCTTTTATTTAAAGAACTCCTACAGGCAGAATCTTTTGGGCCTGGTGCCTCTGAATAAAGCTTTTTATACAAAATTAAGGGCTATACTCTTAAATACCTTAAATAAAAAAGAAGAAAACCACTTGACATTAAGCCCTTCTATTCTTAAGAAAAACAAAAACAAAAACACACACACAGAGCGAGCTCCTTTCTCCACTACAATTTCACCAATAATTCAAACCATCAAGGCTTAAATGATTATCAAAGCAAATGATGCCCCCAACTGGCAGAAAGATCATACCTAATTGACTGGCTTTCCAAAATATTTTGTTAGCCTAAATACTTGATGATTTATTAAAACACTAAAGGGAAAGAACCCAGCCACCAAAGGATATGTGTATTATAGAACCTAACAGGGGGCATAAAATTATTTATGGTAACTGAACCTGTTACCTTTTTTGGATGATTTTCTAGGAATTAAGTTCTATTGAACTCGTTGAGTCAGCATTAAAACCTTTTGGTCCAAATCACTCCCACTAAATGTTTACAATTTATGCTGGAGATGGAAGGGACAGCTCAAAAGCAGAAGTGCAGAAGCAAAAATCATTAAAAAAACCAAAAAAACAAGATAGTATAAGTGAAAAATAAACTACCTATTTGGCACCGATCTATGAAGAACCAAATCAGAGTAGAGCCTTCCCACCTCCACCCCCATTGCGCACGCGCACACACACACACACACACATACACACACACCACACACACACACACCACACACACACACACACACATACACCAGGAAGCTTTTTCAGGAATAAAATTAATCCTAAGCCAAAGGCCTAAACAACTGCTGTTTTCAGATTCTATGCATGTACAAGGTCCACCAACAAAAATTATATTGACATAGCATATTTACTTCAATTGACATACTTGGGGGGGAAAGTCATTAAACTAAAAAGCCTACATGTACTTTGCTACTTTTAAATTTAAAAAAACAAAACAAAACAAAACAAAAACAACTCAATTTTGTTACTGTAGAAAGTAAATCTCTTATACAGATTTTTCATTACACTCAAAATTTGGTTACTGTCATGATTATACAACATTTCACTTAAAAACATTATTCTGGCATAAACTGAAACTTAAACAGCTGTTAAGTATTGACCCAGACTTTGAAATTCTTTGACACAAGAATACCATGGGCAAAAGTAAACAAAGAAATACAAAACAAAACATTCTTACTTGTCCCATTGGTGGTCCTCCCATTGGGGGCATCATTTGCGGCATCATTCCATGAGGTACAGGAGGCATATTCGCTCTCTGACCCATAGGATGCATTCCCATTGGGGCATAATGCATGCCAGGGTGCCCCATCTGAAAAAGAGGGACAATTTAAAAATTAGCAAGTACCAATAAATGCTTCTCAAAAATCTGATTTCTACAAATCAGTTATATGCATGACATAATACCTGGCTAATGTATGATTCAATTACTGAGTTAGTTTATACTTTCTTGTCTTAAATAAAATGTACAACACCAGTATTTATGAGCTTGCACCTGACCAAATTTCAGAACAAAATGGAAAAAATTAAAATCATCACTGGACACCTAATTCGTAGTAGTTGTTGTTGTTGTTTTTTAAGCATGCTGATTTAATCAGTTACCAACTGGCTGGCTAAACTGGGAGGAAATGCATGTGAAGGTCAACTTAACTGTTATGGTGAAAACCACAACTTTGTCCTACTTCACGCAGATATCAGCTAATCAACTATTTTTATTTTATAACTTCATTTATTCTTAAATTCATTTCTAAGATGATTTTAAGCTTTAAAACGCTGAATTTACCCAATTAACTCAGATGAGGGCTGGTCTTACACAAAACAAACAGTATTGGATACCCGGGAACACTTCCCTCCTAACAAACAAACATTATTTCCTAAGAGAATCTCTAACACAGCTAAAATTACTCCTGCAAAAAACAAAACAAAACAAAAAACCCAAAGAATGAGGTCTGTCACTCATGGACACTAAATGCAAACAACTAATTCATCCATCTTAACGCGCTTTTATAAGACAACTACTTTCTTTACTTGTGTGTCCATTGTTACAGGTCTTAAAAGCAGGAAATTATCTCCTGCCAATTCTCCCAGCTGTCCCCCCGCTGCAGACAACACTACTACTAGTGAAGAAATTCTGGCAGCCTCTATTAAAGTCTACCGAATCAAGGCTCCGCCTTCCCCTCGCCTGCTTGATCGGGCCTACCTCTCCAAAACGCTCAACCCGCCTAGGGCCCAGCACCTCCACCGCGCATCTGCCTAGGCCAAACCCACTGGGAACTTCCACGGTCCCACTTCCTTTCCTTTGTGCATCCCCGCCCTCCCAATTCTCTCCCTCGGAACATGTCCCACCATCTCGAGCTCTTCCTTCGTCCACTCTCATCTTCTCCTCCTTCTGGAGAAAGCTTCCTGTCTCTGACTCCGTTTTTCATTGTGCCGCTTTCCCCCTGCCCCACCGATCCCTTACCGAGGGCCGTCTCCTCAGGAAGCCGTCAGCAGAGACCCAAGAGCTGGAGCAGAGGCTTGAGCCGGACAATCTCCGCTCCCCGTCCCCGGGACCCCGCGAGGGAGGATGGCTCTCCATTTCACTCACCATGAGGCCTCCACGCTCGGCTCCCGTCCCCGGCCTCATCTTCGGACTCAGACTGCTCCGCCGGCGGCCACTGCCGCTACACATGCCAACAAGAAGCGATCTGAGTGGCTGGCGCCCACTGGGGCTAAAGGTTAAAGGCTGCCCTGCGCTACGGGGCGGGATCAGCGGGGCCAATAAGCTGACAGGCTTCCCCGCTGTCCAATCAGACTGCGCTGCCGACACGCAGCTCTTCGGCGATTCGCCCCCAGCCTCAGCCTCACTCGGCGTCGCCTGCATGGAGGGGGGAATAGGGGGACGGAGGAAGTTTCTGCGCCGACTCCTCTGCCGGGAAAACTCCACCAACTTCCCCCAGGGAAGGGACGACAACTGTATCCCAGCTTCCCGAGCTTAGACAGCCTCACCCCGTAGGGGGTGGGGCAGTGGGGGCCTGCCACCTTCACCCCCCGCCCGAGTCACGTACGCCCCGCAAACCTGAGGCCGCCGGGGGTGGGGAAGGGTGGGGTGGGGGTGGAGTAAGCAGCTTCTAGCGTTAGCGGTGGCCGGGGCTGGATGCGCGCGCGCGGGGCTCGAAGTGGAGGGAGGGTGCGGGGAAGGCGAGAGGAGGGGTCGTGAGGAGCGGGTTCGAGCTCAGTACGCACCAGCTGGCGAGCGCGCGCCGGGGTGGGGGGAGGAGGCGTGCCGAGCGGTGTGGAGGGAAGTTGTGGTAGGGGCGGGGAGAACAATGCGACAGGGAAGGAGGAAAGGGCAGTTAAGGGAGGCGAGGGCGTGGCGAGCTGAGCTGCCGTTAATGAGGGAAGCCGGGGCTAGTGCAGGCGTAGAGGGGAAGAAGGGAGAAAGCAAATAGGTTCGGGAATGTGTATTAGAGGGGCATGGGCGGGCGCTAGGACCGAGCGTCGGGGAGGTGCGGCTTTGGGGCTGCCGGGGCGCGAGCTTGCATGGAGGTGACGCGGCGGTGGCGGAGATCGCTGGCCCGGACTAAGCACTGCAGGGAGAGGACACTCGGCTGCCTTGGGCCTCGGCTTGTCTCTCCCCGCGCACTTCACTGCGCGCCTTCCTTCGTACTACTTGAGGGTCATGCTCTGGTCCGGGGGCGCCCAGCCTTTTCTCGGGCCCCACGGCACTTTCCTCGCCCAGCCACGCACCCTTGTGCACCCCTGCGCGCCGGGGCCAGGTGGTGGAGGCCGTGGAGGGCCTGGCCGTTGATTGGCTGCTGCGACCGTGGGGCGGGGCAGGTGGGCGACGCTTGACCTTTGCGGACCTGACTGTCTTTCCCGCCATGTCGTTCGTGGAGAGTGGGAGGCGCACAGCCCCTTCTCGCCGCCGTCTAGGCACTGCTGTCCCGTTTGCTCAACCGGCGTTTTCCGCTTTCACTCAGGGAGACAGCTGGGGTGAGGGTGAAGTCGACGAGGAGGAGGGATGCAACCGAGTGGCCCGTGACCTGCGGGCGGAGTTCTCGGCCGGGGCGTCATCGGGACCTAGAAAGGACTCGCTACTCCGGCCAGATGGGGACTGGTCTCCCGCCCTGCCCGATAAACGCAATGGTATTTTCTCGGCGGATGCGGGCGGCAGAGCCCAAGCCCGGCGCTGGCCGGTCCAGGTCCTCTCAGTTCTCTGTTCGCTGCTGTTTGCCATCCTCCTCGCCTGCCTTCTCGCTATCACCTACCTGATCGTAAAAGGTACGGAATGAAGCCCGGACCTTGAAAGTGTGTCCAGAGTTTACTTTTAGTCGAACCTGGACGTGGCTCTCCCCTTCGTCGCCCTCGCTCCATCAAAGGCCGGCAAGCTGGTAGCCGTTTTCATCCAGAGTCCTCGTCCGCACCTTTCTTTGATCTTCTCCCTTGTCTTCTCTTTCCTTAAAGGTAGAGGACCTTGGTCCGTGATCAGGAGACCCATTTTAAGAAAGGGTCTTGATAAATGGGTAGTCTTGAAGAAAAAATATCTTAAAGTGGGTGAACACTTGCGGTAAAATATTGGCAAAATCAAGCAAAATGCATAACAACCGTCATTGAAGACGGTGCAAAGTGTAATTATTAGGCTATACACGTTCAAAGAGTTTAATCCACAAATGGTTAAAGATGTACAATCCACTGATTCCTCTGTACACGTTGAATTGCTGAAGGACAAGGATTTCCATTCCACAACCCAAATTTATACTTGCATAGGTAAAATAGACACTCGTGGGTTTTGAATTAGGTTTGCAACCCAGTGTAGTGGTGAAATTCTGTTGCAGGAGCAAGATAGGTTCTTCCTCTGACTAATGGTGTTATTTTCCGTGTCTTAAGTTGAAATATTGGCCAGGTTGGAATAGAAGAAGATGTGCCTTGAAAGGTTTTCCAAAGCTTATACAGATGTATTATGTGGTTGGATATTTTATGTTGCAGTGGAAAGAGTCAGACGTCAGTTTAAATTTCAATTCTCAGTGGTGTGTGACTTTGGTTAAGTTACTGAAAAAGAAAAATTAAAACAAGAAAAAATACCTTAGTTTGTTGTATGAAAAGCACCCAACACATTGCCACTCAAGTATTTTACTTCACTAAGTAGAATTAAATCTATTTAATTCCAGTTTTTATTTTTCCTCATTGCTTCCAAGCCCCTAGTGGGGTGTAGATGGCATCTAACACTTTACCATGCTTGATTTTCATGCACAAGACAGATTGGCAAGTTAATATGAGAGTTTTACCTCTTCATACAATGATATTGGGTGTAAATTGTCAATGTTAAATATTTGGGTGCCAGTGTTTCATTCCTCTATCACTTCCCTCCCCCATTTTTTCAAAGCAGCTCAGAGTTTTGTCTTGTAGGATGTTTAATTCTTTTGCTCTGAGAGATTGCCTTTGTTCGTAAAGTCACAAAACCTGATAAGTTGAAGTACATTGCAGAACACGTTGAGCTGTGCTTATTTTGGAGGGTGGAGAAAGGAGCTGAACTCAAAACCTAGTAATATGCATTACATAAAATGTCTAGGGAATAAAAATTCCCATTTTATGTACATGGCAGTTGACTCATAAAGACATCTTATTTGCTTACTGAAGGTCACTTAGCTAGTAAATGGAATCAGAATTTGAACCCAGTTGTTTCAGGCTCCAGAGTGCTTTCCACAACTCCACAATGTCTTTCTGGCCTTTGAGCTACTTTTCAAATTATAAAATTCTTTTTTACCCAAGCCCTTTTTGTACTTACAGAGTTACATGCTGAAAATTTGAAGAACGAAGATGATGTACACACTGGACTGTTAGGTATGGACTTTATTGTCACTTGATTTGATTTTTGAGCTCACTTTTGTTTTTCTAGATTATGCTTAAACTATACAGAATTTTGGTTAAATACTTAATATATACCCTGGGCAATTTGGTTTTACTCTTTTTCATTTGCATTTGTGTGTGGTAACTTTTGTTAGATTTTCTTCTTACATGTGTATGGGGTATCTCCATGTGTATATGTATGTATACCAGACATACTAGGAATGCATTTTGAATACAACTGTATGTAACAAAGACTCAGAGAATACTTAACGTTTCTTAGTTACTTTTTGGAAAAGTCTCTCTACACTTCTTCCGAGGAATTAAAAACAAACAGAAAAACCTTACCTCACAGACTTAACAAAGATAACATCTTAAGCAGACCTCATGAGAAGTTTAAGTTCAGATCCTCTTATAAGCAACTTGGTTTTTCAAAAAATATGAAAAGTATTGGGCATACTTACACAGGTTAATCATGACTAGGAAAGAGTAAACCTGAGTTTCTATAGTATGTCTGTAGAATGCTGCAGTTTACAGGTTTGTAGTGAAAAATTCAGTTGTTATTTATCTTTATTTCTCTCTGCGCCAAAATGATTATGAAGACTTCAGAACTTGACCTGTCTGGCATGTTTTGCTCCTGTTTGCTGTAATTTCTTTGGCTGACCACTCTGAATTGGGGTGGGGCGGGTGGGAAATGGTTGCCATCCTAGGCCACATGTTGCTCCCTCCTCCAATCTTAGCTAACCTATTTAAACTGCCTCCTCAAGGCTAAGGTCCTCATGGTGATACAAGGTATAGTTCACCTGATTTTGCAGAAGGGGAACCTTTATCTTCAAATTACAAACAACGTAGTTTGCTTGTCCCATGAAAACTTGTCTATGCTTGTCTCAACTTCTTGCATGAGAAAACTGTAAGGAACGGCACCAAGAAACGGAGGAGAGCTTAAGCAAGCTTTATTTGGGAGCGCTCCCGGGCGAGGTTCACTGGTCCAGAGAAGGGGGCCAGGGAAGTCGCGCCCGGGTGCAGGCACAAACGAAATTTATAGGGGTGGACGCAGGGGAGGTGCTTGCTGTGTGAAGCAGCCCCTTTTTTGGTAATCTCTCGGGTGTTGTGGCAATGTCGGGTGCCGGTTGCATCAGCCTTAGAGCCGTTGGTTCCGCCCCTCGGGGAGCGGGAAATCGGGGAGCGGGAAAGCGGTAGAGCCGTTGTTGGTTCCGCCCCTCGGGGAGCGGGAAAGCCGGGGCCGAGTGGAAAGTCCTGGGTCTGTTTCCTGGGCAGGTGGAAAGTCCCGGGCTGATGCCACTTGTGGGTCGGCTTCATCAACCACCTTGGTGGAGGTTCCGTCTGGCTCCCTGGACCCTTCCCCGGACCTGCTGGCCTTACATCCCGGCTGCTTTGGTGTAATGGGGCGAAGTTTTGTCTCTGGCTACTTCCTGCTGTATGGAGGCGCTGGAGGGGAGTCGGGCGGCCAACGGTCCGGAGATTAGGGGAGGGCGGCAGCGGGGGG